AGGTGGTGGTTTTTAAACTGTGTTTCACAGGGGATTCATGTTTCTAGGTGGTGCCATAGCCTTCTCTCTTTCAGCCAGAACAGTTTTGCTTTTAATTGTTTACAAGTCACAGTTTCACATAATTATGTTTTGGGATGAGACAAAAAAGGCATGGTGCTTAAAAAGTAAAGTAGAAAACAACTGCTTTGGGAGATAGTAACTAATATTTCTTGAGCATGTCCAATTTATTATATGACACTTATTTCAATCCTCAAAGTAGCCCTGCAAGGTAAATATTACTGTCCTCACTATATAGACCCAGAAAAACAGAAAACAGACGCAAACTGGCTGAGTGACTTCCCCTAGGACAACAAAGAAAATATTGGTGCTGAGATTCAAAACCAGGTCTTTTTGGCCCCCAAACCCTAGGTGTTTTTGATACATTAGTGGTTCCTAAACCTGCACATCTGAGTTGCCTAAGAAGGTTTGGAGGTATTTTAGATTTTTTTTTTTTCGTTTTTAACAGTAGAGGCTGTGGCAAACTAGATTATGTCTAAAAAGAGCATCTGGTTTTTGTTCCTATTCTCACCTTTGCCAAGAGAGCCAGACATTTTGTGTGAAATCTTCTAATTGAAATATTTAAATGTTGACAGCTAATTTTAATCTAAAAAGTACACAAGCAAATATGGGGACCAGGAGATGTATGTGGGCCAGTTCGGCCTGAAAGTTGCCAACTGGGGCCTCTCACTTAGTGATCAGGCAGACCTCAGTGGGTACCATTAATAGAATTAAGAATCCAAGTAGTGAAATTTTCTGAAAACTTTAGGAAGGTAACTAGGCTACAGGTACTCTTTAGGAATTTTTATAAAGTACCTGACTTTTCCAGCAGCATTTTCCAAACTGATCCTTAAGATACTAATGGACAGTGTAAAACATTCTATGACCAAATAAGTTTGAGACATGCTGGATTAGGTTACAGGATTTTTTTCCCTTTTGCAGGATACCACAGTGCATCATAATATGCAGTATTTTCCCAGTGGTACCACAAAACCATTATTTTCTTTTTGGTAGAACACCTGGTTCATTGGTTCTCAAACAGAGCTGCACATCATAAGCAATTGGGAACCTTTTGAATTTATGCATGTCTAGGCACTGCTCTGGCAGATTTCATATATGAAAAAATATTAGCAGGGAATATGCATAAATAGGAATGTTAATGGTGGAGTAGAAGTATTGTGGGTGATGGTAGTGGTTAATGATGTTTGGCTTTCATTATTTCTATGTTCTGTAGTGCTTTTTTATCATTAAAATTAAATACATTTTAAATGTAAAGACTGGTAGTTTTTCACATGTGGCCGTAATTACTTTTAAAATTGAAATGAATTTTTTTGTTGTTGTTTTAGGCACTTTCCTGTTTAGTTCAATTTGCTTCTACAAGAAGGTCCTTATTTAGCAGTCCTGAACGTGCCAAGTACCTTGGTAATTTAATTAAGGGAGTAAAAAGAATACTTGAAAACCCTCAGGTATTTATGAAGTAATTTAATTAATACTTAGCATATAGAAATACAGTTTCTCTGCTCAAAGGCACATAATAAACTCATCGTGAATTTATTATGATTCTGAAAGAAAATATTTAGATTCATATTAATCTTCCTTAGATTTCATTTGTAGTGAGAAATGGGCAATTTTTAAAAATGGGTGTTTCCATTTCAGATTTCTATATTTTACTCTTTTTTTTTTTTATCTTTGAGACTAGTATGAATAGAGGTTATCTGTCTTATGCTTCTGTCTTTTACCATTGTACTACGTTTCTTTGCTTGCACTTCTTAAACTTCTGAAGTGATTAGTGTTATATCCACCTTCTGAACTAGAAGACTTAATATAAATGTGAATGTTAGTATTAGAATAAGTGGCTTTAAATTATGAAATAATGTCTTCTTGCCCTCTTCTAGGAAAGTAAGAGTTTATAGATTTTAAACTCTACTGCACGTTAACTTCAGAGCTTCAGTGGCAATATTCATTTCAAAGAATTGCAAAGCCGTTATTAATGAGTGATTTTGGGTGCCTAGATAAAATACTTTGTTTCACTTTTTACTTTGTTTTTGTTTTTAAAATGTCTATAATTAAGCTGGGTGCAGTGGCTCGCATCTCTAATCCCAGCACTTGAGGCCAAGAGTTCAAGACCAGCCCAGGCAGCATAAATTTTTTTACAAAAAAATTTAAAAATTAGCTGGGCATGGTGGTGCACACTTGTAGTCCTAGCTACTTGGAAGGCTGAGTCAGGAAGATAGCTCGAGTTGAGGAGTTTGAAGTTGTACTGAGCTATGATTGTGCCACTGCACTCTAGCCTGGGTGACAGAGTGAGACCCTGTCTCTTAAAAAAACTCTGTAATTAAAGTATAGATTGTAAAAGGTTAAATGATGATTCAAGAGGTTTATCTAAGTCTCTTGGTTATTAGTAACTTTTGGGGGACATATCTTTGTACAAAAAGAAAGTGTGCTTGTTCTACAAAAACCAGTTGTTTTTGCAGGTTATTCTTAGGAATGTTTCATGGATAATGCATTTGTTTTATCATTTCATTGTTAATATAGCTGCGAAATATACCTGTTTTACTGATAAATAGGATTTTACCAATATGCTTTTAAGTTTTTAGTTGTGTAACTTACCATCCTCAACCAGTATGCTAAAGCCTGATAATTCTCTTAAATGATTTTACAGCATCCTCATGTTGATATTTTATGGCTGTAAAAGTTAGTATGAATATTATATTATTTTAGAATCATAAACATGTATGAAAAAACCTATGGTTACAAAATGTCTTTTTGTAATTTGTCTTTAATAATTAGACACTATTTGTATTCTTTTATGAAGTTCCTATGAATGAAATTTCTTAGAAACTTTGTGTTAAATAGATACTTTCAAAATTGTTTCATGCCAGCTACAGTGCATACTGCTCATTCAGACTATAGAGATAATAACACATGTGCCCTGTCTTTAAGGAGCTCATAGACAACTAGGGATACTTGTTCTTTCTTTTTAATTTCTCCTCCCCCCAGATTTACCTGTGTCTCTTGTAGGTATTTTGTTAGACTTTGTTCCTTATATTGCATTTGAATGACTGTTTACTTAGAGACAGGGCATTGTTTGAGGGGACAATACCTGTAGGTACTCAATAAGTGTTTGCTGAATTAAAAGAAATTTCTGTTATCTGTGTACACACACACATACCATTTAACTTAAGTGCAATTGGTATTGCTCTTTTCCAGGGTTTCAAGTACCCATTCTTATTTTCATCTTAAAAATTTTTCAAGTTCTTTGTTGACTTCTGTTTAAGCCACATCACACACACACACACACACACATTTTTTGTGTAATATGATAGGTTCCCAAACAAAACGTAGTCATTGTGGTGTAAAGCTTTGACTTTGGAATCCTTATTATCATTGATGACATTAAATCTAGCAGAAATCACTTGTTTTCTTACATTGTTAACTACCTAGTTGACATAGAGTACTATCAGTACCAATGAAAACTGGAAGACTTAATAAAATGCTTTGGAATTTTATTATCAGTAGGTCGGTTTGTTTTTAAGTACTTTTAAAAGCCTTTCTTGTTGTCTCATAATTTAGGGTTTGTCTGATCCAGGTAATTATCATGAATTTTGTCGATTTTTGGCTCGTTTAAAGACAAATTATCAGCTGGGAGAATTAGTTATGGTGAAGGAGTATCCTGAAGTTATCAGATTGATTGCTAATTTTACCATTACTAGCCTACAGGTAAGTAAAAATACATAATTGATATTAAACTGTAGACAGTTTTAAAACAATTTCTTGGTAAGGGTTGGTGGAGGTATTTTTTAACGTCTATTAATTTGAGTACTTTGCTGAAAATATTCATTGTAAAGTTTTAGGTGAAGTTCATCATAACATTTATAGTAATAAAAATAGAGAAGTCACTTAAATATCTATAATTGAAGAGTGGCTTGAGAAGCTATAGTAAAATCTGTGTGAAGAAATAAAAGAATATTTTTACAGATTGTATTATTTTTTAGAAGTTTGGGGGAGAGAATATAAAACCATATTTTCCACGTGATGTCAACTCTGAAAAATATTCATGCAGCAGTTAGAAGGAAATACAATAACATTTTAATCATGATCATCTAGTGGTGGAGTAATGAGAGACGTTGATTTCTTTATACTTTTTTGCATTCATCACATTTGCCATATGAAATGTTTTATTAGTTATATAATCAAAATAAAAGTTAATTTTAAAATGTATGTTTAGCACAAAGAGTGCGATGCGGACCATCAGGGGATGGACACGCTTGAAGCTCGGACTTGTGGGGGAGGGAGGGCAAGGGAACATATATAACCTAAACATCTGTACCCCCATAATATGCTGAAATAAAAAAAAAATGTATGTTTAGTAATTTCGCTATGTAATTCTTATTCTAGGAAGATATAATGTCATTTTAAATAACTTTTACTTTATTTCTTTGCAGCATTGGGAATTTGCTCCCAACAGTGTTCATTATTTATTAACTCTGTGGCAAAGGATGGTAGCATCAGTTCCTTTTGTGAAATCAACTGAGCCCCACCTGTTAGATACTTATGCACCAGAAATCACGAAGGCCTTTATCACTTCTCGGTTGGAATCTGTTGCCATAGTTGTGAGGTATTGAAAAACTAAATGTTTCTGTTGTATTTTCATCTTTTGCTTCTTGAAATTTTTTAAGATTGAGGTATAAATTTGAAATTCACCCTTTTTAGTGTACAGTTTTAATGAGGTATGACAAGTGCATATGTTGTCAACATATGCACTACTGTCAACCCCAAAAAGTTCTTTTGGGTCCTTTTGTAGTCATTCCTCTCTTCACCCTCATCCCTGGCAATTACTGATCTATTTTTGTGTCCCTGTAATGTTTGCCGTTTCCAGAATGTTGTATAAATGAAATCATGTAGTATGTAGCATAATGCACCTAGCATAATGCATTTGAGATTCCTCCATATTGTGTCAGTAGTTCTTTCCTTTTTATTACTGACTAGTCCATTTGGTGGAAATATTACAGTTTGTTTACTCATTCGCTTGTTGCTGGACTTTTGGGTTGTTTCTGGTTTTGGCAATTGTGAATAAAACTGCTGTAAACATTCCTGTACAGATTTATGTACGTACGTAAGTTTTTGTTTCTCTAGGGTAAACACTAGGTTTGGGATTCCTGGATTGCATGGTAAGTGTATATTTTACTTTATAAGAAGCTACCAAACTATTTTCCAAAGTGGCTATAACCATTTTGCATTCCCACTAGCAGTGTATGAAAGATTCAATTATTCTGCATTCTCACCAGCACTTGATATTGTCAGTTTTAAACAGTTTTAGTCATTTTACTAGGTGTATAGTGGTACCTCATTGTGGTTTTACCTTAATGACTAATAATATTGACCATCTTTTCATGTTATTTATTTACCATCTTCTGCAAAGTGTCTGTCAAATCTTGCTCATTTTTTTATTGGGTTATATTGAGATTTGAGCATTGTGTATATTCTGTTCACAAGTCTTTTTATCATACATTTGTTGTGAATATATTTTCTCTGTCATTTGCCTTTTCACTTCCTTAACAGAGTCTTTAGAAGAGCAGAAGTTTTCAGTTTTGATGAAGTCTGATATACTCTTTATTTTCTTTTATTTATCATGTATTTGGTATCGTACCTAAGGAATCTTTAACCCAAGGTCAAAACAATTTTATTTTCTCTTCTAGAAGTTTTCTGGTTTTAGGATTTACATTTAAGTCTATGATCTATATTTCAAGCCAATTTTTGTATGCTATCTGAAGAAGAGCTCAAATCTTTTTTCTTTTTTGGCATATGGATGAGCAATTATTCCAACACCATTTGTGGAAAAGATTGTCTTTTTCCATTGAATTGCCTTTACACTGTTGTCAAAAATTAATTGACTGCATACATGTGGTTCTATTTCTGGACTGTGTTCTCATTTATCTATGTGTCTATCCTTCTGCCAGTAACCTGTCTTGATTACTGTAGCTTTATAAGAAGCTTTGAAACGAGATAGTATGAGTTCTCCAACTTGCTTTTCCCTTTTCGAAATTGTTTTGGCAACTCTACCTTCTTTGCTTTTCCATGGGAATTTTTGCATCAGTTTATTGGTTCCTACAAAGAAATCCTGCTGGAATTTTGACTGGGATTGAATTGAATCTATAGGTTAATTTGGGAAAAGAATGGACATCTCAACAATATCAAGTCTCTCAATCAATGAGCATGTCTATCTTTTAACTTATTTAGCTCCTCTGTGATTTCTTTCATCGGTGTTTTGTAGTTTTTAGCCTTCAGATCTTGCATATGTTTAGTTAGATTTAATTAGTATTTTATGTTTTCTGGTGCTTTTGTAGGATACTGTTTTTTAAAATTTCAATTTGCAATTATTCATTGTCAGTATATATTAATAGTTGATTTTTATGTATTGACCTTGTATGTTGTGACACTAGTAAACTCATGTAGTAGTTCTGGTACCTTTTTTGTGGTTTATTTTGTATTTTCTGTATATTAATCATACCATCTTCAAATATAGACAGTTTTTTTTCTTACCTTCTAAGTCATTTCTCTTTTATTTCTTTATCCATTAGAATTTTTATTTAACATAAAGTTTATGTGTGGTGAATAAAAGTACATCACATTCTAATGTTATCTGCAAACTTGTTCTTATATGTTTGCAGAGATCATTTAGATGATCCCCTGGATGATACTGCTACTGTGTTTCAGCAGCTGGAGCAGTTGTGCACTGTCAGCAGATGTGAATATGAAAAGACATGTACTCTTCTTGTACAGTTATTTGACCAAAATGCACAGAATTACCAAAAACTTCTACATTCAGCTACGGGAATAACTGTGGACATGGCAATTCAGGAAGGTAAGTAAATTTTATGACTGTTAAATATTATGTTGAATAATTAAGTGACATTACTAATCACTTTAATAATTTTATTGCAAATTATTTTTATATATTTTCCCCAGTTCCTAGTACCCTAATAAACCATTAATTTTTATTAACCTTCTGGGTATTTTAGTGCCTTAATGGTTGATTTTTAGGTTCCCTTTATAAGAGTCATATGAAATACTTCTCTCTGGAACCAGTATCAAGAAAAGCTGCTAATGATCCTTGAGTAGATAGTTTATTAACGTAACTATCTCTTAACTAATTGTATTTCCTTCTTTGCTGTAGCTGATTAGAAACTTGGAGCCAAATTTCAGCCAGTAAAAAAAGTATATAAGAGGTCATCATGGCTTTGCTTTTATGTATTAGCCTTCATCATAGCTTTATTATTATTTTTTAATTCCTCCATTTCCTCATTATTTTATCTTGTATCCTTTATTGAGGGAGAAAGTATTTATTTCTGTATATCCCTTTAAATTCTTTCAGGAGCATAGGGAAAATAAAAATAAATAAATACAT